GAAAAATTTTTGCTGAAAATTTTAAGATTGGAGAAAACACCATATGTTTTCAAATGAGTTTTATAGGCCCTTTATGCTTTCAGAAAATTTGGAATAAATATATATTTTCGACTCCTTATTTTAATAAGTGTAATTAACAAACGCATGTTATTTTGTGTGACTGTTTTATTTAAACACAATTTTCAGTATTTGGAACAATTAAATGAAATAAACAATTTAAGATAACTGTAGGAGTCATAAATCATTGATTACATAAGTGAAATTGCATAGTATTGAAATCTTAATATTACCAATAAATTGTGATTTAAATAATGGCATTTCTAATGCAAGGGAAGTAACTCTTTCACATCCATCCATATGCTGGTGTTTAATTACCCCTGTTGAAAATTGATCCAATAGGTAAATTTTTCAATGTTGAGAAAAAAATCAACTTAATTAAGGTATGCTCTAGGTTATAAAAGTTGTGTACTTTAACTTATGTCTTTTTTTCTACTTTTCTTGCAGTGCTTACTTCCCCTGATCAGTAGAATGCATGGTCCAAATTTATCAGAGATTGAAACACAGCTGTTGTAAATTCTAAAGTAAAAATTAATGTTCATTGTAAGAGAGGTAGATGAGTTTAACTAGTGTGATATCTTTTAAACATTATTAACAGTAGAGGGCAGTTACTTTAATAATGGCATGTGACTCCCTTTGATAGCCAAAAAACATAAATATACATTATTCTGCAATCATGTAATATCCAGTAATGTATAGTTAACTACTGAGGCTGAGCTGAGCTTCTTTACATAGGTACCATATAGCTTTCCATTATCAGTTATAACCAATTATAAATTGAAAATTGTATTGGAAAATTGTTATAAGCTCCAGATCCACTTAATTAAAATGAAAAAATATTTATCACTTAAAAACCTGAAAGAAATACTAAATGTATAACACTTTTTACTATTTCATGTGTATGACCATTAATAGATATGTTTGGCATTATTATTTTGATCACTAATTCTCTGTGTATACATGTAGTATATCATGGGGGGGGGGGGGGTTCATGTTTTCACACTGTGGGTTACGGCCATTAAATAATGGAAAGGGGTAAATTTTCAACATTGAAAATTGATCCAATCTCTGTTGATAAATGACCCATGGGGTCAATTATTAATGGGGCCGAAGTTTATTGTTACACTGGCACTGCTCATAAATACTTGAATAACTCAGATGCTTAATATTAGATATTATCAGAACAGAAAATAATCATGTTACGTTTTGTAAAGTTATTGAGACTCCTACTTTTGAGACAATAAAAAAAATTAAAATTGAATATTACAGATGTGTTATGGTAGTTTATCCATAATGTTTTCCTGCCAAAAAATATCTAACATCGGCCAATATCTAAGCAAGTCGGTTTAATTTCGGAACAATATTTTTTTTAAATCTTGGTCTTAAGATTTTTTACAAGCACTCATCCTCTATCACTAAGATGTACTAAATTCTGGCTATAAACGTGAATACAGAAGATCGTGAAAAATAACATTCCATTTATGGTCGATTTTTTAGCACGTTTTTTTTTTTTTTTTTTTGAAAAAAAATGTAGAGGCATTGCTATAGACGCGGCAACATTGCCGTTGCTGTTGCCGGTGCCTTTGCTGTTGCCATCCGTAAACTTGTACCTGGATCATAACTTTTTTATTTCTTGGTGTATTGTCTTCATACTTGGCAACAACAACCCTTGGGACAAGACCTTTCAGTAGACCACACTAACCTTGACCTTCATCCATAAATGACCTTGACCTTCAAGGTTAAAAGTCCAAATTTTGCTTGTTCATTCTGTTATTGGCTGTAACTTTGTCTTATTTTTGAATGGATTGTCTTCAAACTTGAACATAATAATCTTCAAGGATATCCCTTAAAAATAACCCAACAGACCTTGACCTTCACTCATAAATGACCTTGACTTTGACTTTGAAGGTCAAATTATTGAAAGTTTTTTTGGCTATTATTGGCTGTTACTTTGTTATTTTTGAATGGATTGTCTTCAAACTTGAACATAATAATCTTCAAGGATAACCCTTATAAATAACCAGACAGAACATGACCTTCACTCATTAATGACCTTGACCTTTTCATTGTTTTTGCTGTAACTGGCTATAACTTTGCTATTATTGAAGGGATCAACTTCATGTTATAACAGAACATATATAAGGACAAGACCTTGTCACCACCATGTGCAACCACCAGCACGTGACACCACCAGCACATGACTTCACCACATGACTCCACCATGTGACACAACCACGTGACTCCACCAAGTGACTCCACTACGTGACTCCACCCAAGAATCCACCATGTGACTCCACCACGTGACTCCACCATGTAACACCACCACGTGACACCACCACGTTACTCCACCACGTGACTCCACTACGTGACACCACCACATGACACCACCACGTGACTCTACCATGTGACACCACCACGTGACACCACAGGACACCACCACGTGACACCACCATGTGACTCCATCACGTGACACCACCACATGACATCACCTCGTGACTCAACCACTTGACTCCACCATTGACTGCACCACCTGACACCACCACGTGTCACCACCACGTGACACCACCTTGTGACTCATCCACCTGATTCCACAATGTGAATCCACCATGTGACTCCACCAGGTGTCCATTATGTGACTCCATTATGTGACTGCACCACGTGACACAACCAGGTGACACCACTAAGTGACTCAACCATGTGACTCCACTATGTGACTCCATTATGTGACTCCACCACGACTCACCTCCATGTGACATCACCAAGTGACATATTTTTAGAATTTTCTATTTATAGAATTGCATGTTTCTATTTATAGAATTGTGTGTTTCTATTTCTATACATAATAGTATATTTATATATACAAAATATATAGACAAAACTAATGTGACAAAATAGACCAATTAATTTTATAAAAAGGAAACGTTAAGATTTTGTTCAAACATTCCTTTGTTTGCTTTTAGAGAAAGTAAAAAGTTGAGCGTTGCCAACACCCGGCGGTGGCTCTTGTTATGATATAGGCCGAAGTTAGAAATTATTTGGCTGGAAAGCTTTACAGTAAGACTACCTTAAGTATTAAAACGTTCTATTTGTACTCATCATAATCTGCCACTCCTAGTTTTTGTGTCGCCTTGAAAAGGCGACATATAGGGGTCACTTTTGTCTGCAGAGTTGGCGTCGTTGTCGATGTCGGCGTCCCCTAAAGCTTGTCCTGAGCATAACTCAGTCACCATAAGTCTGATTGACTTCAAACTTGCTATGTATGCTTCTTTCAATAACCCGAAGCGCAGTGTATAAAGACCGGTACTCTGCACTTCTTAATTTTTGAGTTATTGCCCTTCGTTAATTTTCATACTTAAATTTTGTTCAGGCCATTTCTCTTCAATTGTAAAAGCTATGGACTTGAAACTTCATAAGATGATAGATCTCATTTAGAAGAAGTGCAGTGCACAAAAACTTGTACTCTGCACTTCCTTTTTTTTGAGTTATTGCCCTTTGTTAATTTTCATACTTTATTTTTGTCCGTGCCATTTCTCCTAATGTATAAAAGCCATGGACTTGAAACTTCATAGGATGATAGATCTCATTAAGAAGAAGTGCAGTGCACAAGAACCGGTACTCTGCATTTCTTATTTTTTGAGTTATTGCCCTTTGTTAATTTTCATACTTTTTTTGTCGGTGCCATTTCTCCTAAAGTATAAAAGCTATGGACTTGAAACTTCATAGGATGATAGATCTTATTTAGAAGAAGTGCAGTGCACAAGAACTGGTACTTTGCACTTCCTTATTTTTGAGTTATTGCGTTTTGTTAATTTTCATACTTTATTTTTGTCCGGGCCATTTCTCCTAATGTATAAAAGCCATGGACTTGAAACTTCATAGGATGATAGATCTCATTAAGAAGAAGTGCATTGCTTAAGAACCGGTACCCTGCATTTCTTATTTTTGAGTTATTACCCTTTATTAATTTTCATACTTTATTTTTGTCCGGGCCATTTCTCATAAATTATAAAAGCTATGGACTTGAAAATTCATAGGATGATAGACCTTATCATGCTTATTAATAAGAAGTGCAGTGCAAAGAAACTGTTGCTCTGCACTTCTTATTAGTCCCCTACCGGTTTAACCGGAGGGGACTTTAGGTTTACCCTCCGTCCGTCTGTCTGTCCGTCTGTCTGTCAGTCCGTCAGTCCGTCCGTCCACAAAACTGGATCCCGCGATAACGCAAAAAGTGCTGAAAATATTTTAATGAAACTTGATATATGGATAGATGGCAGTATGGAGATTATGCACGTCTTTTTTTTTTCTTCCTATGTTGAAAATTCTGGTTGCTATGGCAACAAATAGCCTGAGAATATGGCAAATTGAACACATAAACTGGATCCCGCAATAACGCTGTTGTGTAAACACTAAATAATCAAAAGATTGCACTGGTTCTTCAATAACGTTGTTTTATTATAGATTACCGGAAGTCAACTCATATAATGACGTCAATACAATAACGTATAAAATGGCGCGTCACGCTAAACATGACGCTAATATTGGCGCAATAACTCTGTACATGCATATGTACGTAACACTCCGGGGGCCACAATGCTTGTTCAAGATCATAATTATTAAGTAAAATAATAATTGTTCAAACTGAAATTCAATGAAATGAAGTATTGTAACTTAGAAACTTTGAAATCAGATATATCTAGTGAATTAAATTACAAGTTCGCTCAATCAATTAAATTTATAAACTGTCTCTGATAGTAAACCACTATTGCAATTAGTTTCAAATCATTGTTATTATACTCTTATTGCAATTAACCGGTAAAGTTTCACTGATTATATATAACGCATTGCAAATGTCACTTTATATTTTAAAGGCATGCGCGAAAAATTGGTGCCGGCAAATGCACGTGAATCACGTGTACAATGTTACTTCAGTTTTAGTGAGACTCTCATAACAAGGTTAGGTATTTGTGTTTCCATCTTGAAAAGAAACGTCCAAGCGTTGCATCTATGAGTATGTACAGTTCCTCGACAGGCTCATTTAATCCCCTTGTTGTGAGTTCTCTGTCGTCTGGGTAAAAAATGGAGGTAATCCTGCGTCTGTATAGTAGATGAGATGGGTCTATGAGATATGTGTACATGAATGTATAGATACGTGTGCGGTCATTTATAACACATATTTTCTCCGAGTCTTTTCTCACAGGATGGTGGGGCATAGTTCTGGGTCTACTTATATGTTCGTTTCGTGATATAATGTAGTGGTCATCTTTCTGTGGTAAATTGTCAACATAATTTTCTTTACTGTACGTAATGCTATTTTCTGAATATTCGCGTCTTTTTTCGTAGCATAATTGTTGGTTTGGCTTATATCCTTCTCCGACCGACTCTTTTATCTTAAGATGCTCTACTTTAAGTTCATTATGCGTAATCACAGTCATAACGTTAATTTTACAGATGGGGATCGATGTGGAATGTATTTCAGGATCAGTTTTCAATGGTCCTGATAGAAGGTATCCGATTTTAGATAGTGTAGCTGTAGGCCCGTCACCTCTGATAACTTTATCTTGTACTACGTCCCAGTAATGATCAGCACCAATTAGAATCTCGATATCAAAATCTTCATCTCCTGAGACTGGGTGTGCGAGTTTGAGCCCTTTCAGGTAAGTAAGGCGAGCAGCATATTTGTGATGAGATTTCAGTGGCGTGGAAATTTCAGGAATAATCAAAACCTTTATGGGAATATTTTCTTCTGGTGTTTCTAAATACACGGTTGCTCTGCTTAAATGTCGCACGCGACGCTCTGTGTCTCCGAAACCCGACATGTATAAAGTTTCACTTCCGGTGGGCTCCAATTGTAATTTTTGGGCTAGGTGTTCACTTATAAATGAACTCTGGGAACCTTCATCAAATAGGATATTGGCAGAAATGGAGGTACTTTTTGAGGTTACCATGGAAACTGCTGTCTTTAATAATACAGGACCTGGTGTGGTAGAGTAAGCAGAATGTAATACCGAAGTGGAGTTCCCTTTCTCATTGTTGATAACAGGATACTTATCTGTAGATTTGGCTGCTATTTTTACTCCACAAAAACTAGTATGATGTCTGCGTGAGCATATTTTACACTTGAATTTAGACTTACAGTCTGTAATCTTGTGGTTTCCCAGACAATTAAAACATAGCCTTCTTTCCTTCACTATCTTCATTCTCTGTTCACGATCTTTAAATTTTACACAGTCTATACAAGAGTGCTCTCCCTTACAAAACGCGCATCTTTGTCTATGTGATCGTAAGTTGCTTGGTATGGGTGTATTTTTTCTTTCTGTTCTACTAGAATCAGATTTTGTTAGAAAAGTTGCTGTCGGAATTAAGTCTTGAGGGGTATTCAGCAAATTTCCAGCATCTAAAATATTGATTTCATTCAGTATACATTTCATCAATTCACGCAAAGACCACGACTGTATCCCGTGCGCACATGTAATGTTTGTTCTGACCTCTGGCGGTAGTTTTTGAAGGATAACAGGTGTAAGTAATGAACCGTATGTAGTCTCATTCTGATTTAGTGAAGCTAATGCTCTGATATATGTCTCTGTTGTATCATAGAATTTTCTAATACTTTGTACAGTGTACATGGGTGCTGGAACTTCTAGTAATGCTTTCATGTAAGTTTGTATAATTCTGTCCTTTTGACCATATCTCTCATGTAACAATGAAATAGGCTGTTCATAATTAACATTAGTTAAGGCAAATCCAGCTATTGTTTGCAAAGCCTCATTTTTAAGACACGACTTCAAGTAATTGAATTTCTGTACTCCGCTAAGTGAAACATTCGAGTGTATAGCAGACTCGTATGAATCCCAGAATGAACACCAGTCAAGGACATTTCCGTCGAACTTCGGCAAATCTAATTTTGGTAATTTGTGATATACTGAGCTTTGAGATAAGGACGGTAAGAAATGCATCTGGGAAGTATTCTCGCTGATACCTGGCGCACAAATCTCGGATGTTTCGCTTGATACGGACACTTGAAATGGCTGAGCATTAGGGTTTAGAGCTGGGGAATTGTAGTTCAAATTTGAAATTGATACCTTCCTAAAATCATGTATCTTCTGTATCTTGGTCTTTAACATGTATATATATTCATCATGCTCAAGAATTTCTGTTTCTATTTGTTCTTCCTCTTCGTCTTGAAAAGAATCAAGGATCTTTTCATGAATCTCCGTGATCGTCTGCTGTTTCTGTTTGAGGGAGTCAATGATCGTCACAAGTTCCTCGTAATCGGCTGCCTCCCGCTGAATTATCTCGAATTTGTTCAGGAGTCGTGTAACTGCGCCTTTGTGACCCTTCTGTATAGAACGTAATTTTGTTGTGATAGTGTTATCCGGTTCGCGGGACCAAAATGTTGTGTAAACACTAAATAATCAAAAGATTGCACTGGTTCTTCAATAACGTTGTTTTATTATAGATTACCGGAAGTCAACTCATATAATGATGTCAATACAATAATGTATAAAATGGCGCGTCACGCTAAACGTGACGCTAATATTGGCGCAATTACTCTGTACATGCATATGTACGTAACAAACGCAAAAAGTACTGAAAATACTTTTATGAAACTTGATATATGGATAGATGGCAGTATGGAGATTATGCACGTCTTTTTTTCTCCTTCCTATGTTGAAAATTCTGGTTGCTATGGCAACAAATAGCCTGAATTTCAAGATTTCTGATTTAAATTTTTCAGCTTTTTCACTATAAGTTCTTTATTTCTTACGGTGTTTACTTCAAACTTTAAATATAAGTTTCTGGTCATCAACCACATCATATGTGACAAGGTTTACAACTCTAGCACAAAAATTATCAGTATTACCTCCCATGAACTTAGAATTTTTATGGAAAAAAAATGTTGTCTTTTTTTTATAACTTCTTTATTTCCTAATGCATCTACTTCAAACTTCATATATATGTTTCTTATTATCACTCAATATTTTTGAGAAGGTTAAATACTCTAGCAAGACTATTTCCAGAATTATGTCCCCCTTGAACTTAGATTTTTTTTGAAAAATTGGTAATTTTCACTCACTTCTTCATTCCTTATAGGATTAACTTTAAAATCCCACATCGTAATATGACGAGGTTGTATAAACATAATTTCCTTTCTAGGCAGGGAAACTTTACACATTACTGTGATATAGACAAACTTAGAACTCAAAAGATTTAAGTTCATTCATGTCATTCATTCACTGGTAAAATTGACTGGCCAATGGCCCATCAGAAAGTTGCTGGGGTTCTAACCGGTAGGGGACTTTATGGATTGCTTGCAATACTATGATAATTGCTTGTTTTTTGAGTTTTTGCACTTTGTTAATTTTCTTATCCTGGCCATTCCCCCTACACTATATTGTTCACAAGGCAACACATCCAACTCACAGAGTTCTAGTTATAATGTACAGATCTTAAGTTGATTTCTTATACTGGCAAACTTACAGCAGAAAATCACAGAGACAGATTTGCACACCTCAGGTTTATATCCCACTTTGTGGGAAATGCATACTAATTAGTTGTATATATCAAGGTTGATTGCAAATTTACTGCAGTATCTTACATGAAAGTTTTGAGTATTGCGGTCAACCCTCGAAATATATCAGTACAAGTTCTCCAAACACTGTAGCTACAGTGCTATGATTAGTATTTGCCATGAACTGATTTTGAAAATTCTAGCAGTCTATTGCAATAGGAATTTTATCTTGAAAATCATGCACAAAAGGCAGGATGAATAGCATAGCTTGCAGGACATGTAGAAATTTAAAGCTAATATTCCTGCATCAGAATTTCTTTTCAATCTCTGGAAATGTATCACAATATTAATTCTTAGTATAATCATATAGTGTTACCTTGGTTGTGTCATAACACGGTTTCATCATACTTACATGTAGGCAAAATGAATGCAGTTTTTAATGTTCAAATTTTGTTTTATTGATATCAGCTGTAACATAGTTCTATTTAATATAATATTGCTTTTTTTTTTATTGTAATTGCAACTTAAAGCAGCACGCCTCCAGATTTTTGCTAATTTTCATGAAAATTTGAAAATGTATTTAACAGTTTAATATTGTAAAGTTACCGAAAGAATACAATTTACACATTATCAATGACACTTACATACAACCCATGTGAGGTCAAATATGCAAAAATAGCCCTTACTGCGTTAGTAACGCAGTAGAAATATAGATATAAATGCTGAAAAATCGGTCATAAATCACATATAAAATGTAAATTATTGCTAGAAATTTTAATCTTCATGCTTTTCCTAAAATTTTAGTACACTTTTCTCGGGTTTTTTTTATCGAAATGTTTTTTGCTCATCTGGAGGCGTGCAGCTTTAAAATGACTAGAACAAACTTTTAATATTAACATATGCTTTTATTGAAACATGTCATAAGGTAAAGCATTTTATAGCTGTAATCTAATCACTGTCATAGGGCAATGATGAGGATGTGCTGATTAAACACATTGGTGCGAGGGCAGTGGAAGATGGTGATGATGTACAAGTAGAGGAGGTAAAAAACAATGCTGTAGAAGATGAGATGGTCGACAATGTTGGTGAACAGAAGTTTAAAAAGATAAGTGCTATGAATTTACGATTACATTTGAGTAGACTAGTTGTATATTGGTATCTGGTGAAAGTTCAGTAATAATCGACTTATTGCACTAGGTCTGAGAACTTTCAAGTCTATATGTGTTTTACAATTATTAAAACCATTGTATTGTCCTTATGATTGTCCTTTGTATTTTTATTCTTCTTCAGTGGAATTATTATGTCTTTTATGTTTGACAATTATGCAATACAGAGGTTTATTATATACGCATGCCGATTTTGCAATTCTGCAAAAGTGGTATTGCACAGCCGCTCATTTGTATAAAGATGATGTCATTTGCTTTTAACAAAAATACCTTAAAAGACACAACTACAGGTCAAGTTCGATGATGCGTTATCTCCGGTCAAAAACTAGGCCACAGGAGCTAAAAATAGAAAAATCTTTTTAATGCTCTAGTGGCTGCAGTTCACATTCAAATTACCTGGAAATTGGTCAGGAAGGTTGTTTTGATAATTTCTAGGTTAAGTTTGAATATGGGTCGTTTCCGGTCAAAAATTAGGTCACATTGCCCAAATATGAAAAAACCTTTTTAACACACTAGAGGTCACATGTTTGACTAAGTTGTCTTCAAACTTGGCCAGGATGCTTGTCTAAGACATTGCTTGGATGCGGTAAATGGGGCAGGGGAGCAATCCAGGGATATCATGGCGCTCTTGTATATTTTTTTTATTTTTTATGTTTGTTTTTTTTCCATATTTTATATCTAAATCACAATTTCACATTTTCACTGTCCACAATCGTCACATACTTCAATATCTGTTTCATTATTATCCTCCCAATCGGGACAGTTATGTAATTCTTGTTGATAATTTAATATAGTTAGCATTTGCAACACTTAATATAACAACAAGCATTGCAATAAATGCAATGCCCGTATTTAAATTCAGAAATTGGTTCTTGAGCCATGGTAGAATATAGAATAGTAATGAAAAATAAGATAAACACCTTAATTAATTAATTAATTTTAAATCTTTTGTACACAAATACAGCAAAGCGAAGTCTGTTTAGTTTATCAGTAGAAAGGTCAACAGTTGTGATGCTGACTGCAATAAATCTACCTGATTAAATAGTTGTAAACCACAACGGGTCTAGGCTTGTTATAAAGGCCTCAACAGACGGTAGGATTTTGAAGTGGAATAAAAAATGTGTCGTATTTTATAATGAGAAAAAAAACAACAAAAACAAACAAACAAAAAACCAGTATTTTAATAATGTGGACTTTCATATTAATAAAATTAACACGTATTACATCATTATGTAAACAAAGTGAAGCTGGATCCGCCCATTTTTTCATCGACAAGAATTGAGGTCTTAATTCTCATACAAACTCAATCATTGAATCCAACTTTAACCAGGTGCATTGATAAAACTAAAACAGAACTATTGTTTGAAAGTTATTATAGGTAAAAAGAAGTAACTTACCAGTATAACTTTCCTGACTCCATCTAGCAAGGCAAATATTTTATCCCGATGCAGACACATCCCCACTGTGTGTGGAATTTTGTCCCCTTCAACGTGGCCACAGTAAGACAGACGTGGATGTTTTAATTGAAAGGGTAATTTTCTGTGACAAGTCAATCTGTTTGATAATTTGCAGTAAAAAAAGTGTCGTATTTTCTAATGAGAAAAAAACGGAAAAAAGGGGAAAAAAACAAACAAAAAACAACAGTATTTTAATAATAATATATTCATAAAATTATTACGTATTACATCATTATGTAAACAAAGTGAAGCTGGATCCCCCCATTCATCGACAAGAATTGAGGTCTTTATTCTCATAATACAAACTCAATCATTGAATCCAACTTTAACCAGGTGCATTGATAAAACTAAAACAGAACTATTGTTTGAAAGTTATTATAGGTAAAAAGAAGTAACTTACCAGTATAACTTTCATTAATCCATCTAGCAAGGCAAATATTTTATCCCCTTCAACGTGGCCTCCTACAGTAAGACAGACGTGGATGTTTTAATTGAAAGTAATTTTCTGTGATAGGTCAATCTGTTTGTTAATTTACATTGTTTGCTTTAAAAAAGAAAAACGTTGAGCATTGCCCCCGCCTGGCGGTGGTTCTTGACCTAAGGCTGGGGCTGTAATGATTCACCAAATGTTCAATCCTATCCGATGTTAATTTTAGGTACCCCGATTTGTTTGTTTTCGATTGGATTGCATTTTTGATTACTATTTTGTCTTTAATTGGCAAGTCTGTTGATTTGCTCTTAAAACTGTGACCGTTGACATAGTCTTTTGCATTTCTTTAGTTGTATGACCATTATCCCAACGTATTTGACTTTTTATCATTCCTGGGACAAAGAGATTACTAGTTGTTTTTGTGAAAATAAATATTGATCTATTTGGAACTCTTTTTGATCAAACAATCTATCTCAGTAATATGACAAGGACATTTCCAGATTTGACTTTTTTCAAACCTAAACTACCTTTTTGAATACATTCACATCAGTGTTTTCTTTTCATGTGTTGCATACCTACCGACTTCGGATATGTTATGCCTTCAAAACATATCTTTCATGTTGCTTTGTTGAATCTCTTACCCTCACAAAACCAGAAGCATTCCATCGCCCTTTATCTTAAGTTTTGTTTGCAGAATTTATCTAATTATCTTTCTACTTTGATGTTTGAAGCAAATTTTCGTGCCGAGAATACAATACTACACGCTCACTGATTGGATTACTGAGTAAGATAGTCGGTTGACTAAAATCACATATTTTTGGTTGTGACTGGAATAAAAATGTTGAATTTGACTTTGGAATCGAACCGGTCTACAATGCATCGGAAGGAATTGTTGCACCTCTAGCTTAAGACTTTGCATAAAGTGAATATAATATTACATTTCATATTATTTCTTAATGGAAATATGGTAAATATTTATCAGGTTTAAAGTAAAATGGCTTGTTTCTCCTCCTATTATCAAGTGAAAAAATATTGAACCAAAAAATGGTAGAGTGGGAGAAGAAGTGTCTGTCAAAGTTAATCACATATTTATTTATTTTTGCATGTTTATCATTAAGAATACACAATTTTAGATGTTTATTGAATAAAACTGATGCTGAGCATTCACAATTTTTTTAAATCCATATATTTAAATAATTAAACCCCCACAATCAAAAATTGGGGGTATATAGGAATCAGCTTGTGTATTGGTGGTTTTACTGGAAGATAACTTGAGGTCACTGTTACTAAAAATAGACAAATGATTACCGGACAATTGCAATGAATTAGCGATGAGATGTTGTAATCAAACTTGATATTAAGCAAGCTTTTATGAAGACCCATGGTGGGATAGTGTTTGAACCTCTTCAAGTCAAGGTCACCATTACTAAAATAGAAATATGGTTTCCAGACATTAACTTTAGTTAGGAATGAGGTATTGTAATCAAACTTGCAAACTTGATATAAAGCATGGTTATAAGAAGACCCAGGTTGGGATTGCTTTTGGGCCCCCTTGGGTCAAGGTCAGTGTTACTAAAATAGAGAAAACGATTTTCAGTCAATAACTGGAGTAAGCACTTTGAAATTGTAATCAAACATGGATTATAGTATTCTTACACGAAGGCCCTGGTTGGTATTACGTTTTAATCCCCTTGTGTCAAGGTCACTGTAACAAAATTGATTTTTGGACAATAACTAGAGAAAAGAATGATATATTGTAATTAAACTTGGTATACAGCAAGCTCATATGAGGACCGCAGTTGGGTTTTCTTTTGACTCACCAGGGCCAAGTTCACGGATAATAGAAATAGAAAAAAAATGTTTCTGGAAGATGGGCTATTAATTGTAATAATTATTGGTATACAAACGAAACATAGTAAGTAAGATAGAGTCAGACCACTTATTTTTTAAAAAAGTTAAGGTTCCTGGTAGGGTTGTGAATCACCATGAGTGATTGCTCTTGTTATTACTGGCATTAGTTGCCAGATAGGAAAAAAAGATATTTTTAAGGTTTATAGATGTACGTGGCAGTTGAATTGGCGGGAAGGATTTGAGTGTGTATATTACATACTTTGAGGCCTTAAGAGCCCTTCTAATTTTAAGGTTTTTTTCATGATAGTAAGTGGCAATCAATGGACTGAATAAAGTTTATGTCTCATTTATCATATAGATCATAACATAGGTTAACTATTCATATAATAGATACATGTATAGTATCTTATTTATTATGGTTCAATAATGTCCTACATTCATGAAGTGACTAAGTAAGGTTCTATTACAACATAACCATCGTTAGAACAGAATACCTTGGATTATGAATATTAGGATAAGAAATGGGAAGTGCCATCCACTGAACAAAGCCCCAATATCCAGTCAGTTCAGTCTGTTAAATCCTTTAGATAGTAAGGCAATTCTAATAAAGTTGAGACTTTGCTCAGGTGTGGGTTTATTCTTTGACTGAGGTTTTATTACTTTCATAGTACCATTTCGCTTCAATCTGAACTAAAGGAGCAGAAAACTTGAAGGAATTTGTAGGAATTTCACATGTGTTTTAGTACTAAAAAAGAGGTATAATTTTCTTTGCTTTTTTGCTTTCCAGTACATAAATGACATTGCACAAGAATTTCAAATATGAATAGTGTACAACGTTTAAATAGCATGATTTATGAAAAAACGTCTGGCAAGTTATTTTTTCCCGCACTAAAGTGTATATTTTTTATAGAGAACTTACAATATGTATTTTCCTTGTGTGCCAAATTCAAATATTGGGACTGGAGTCTGTAATTTGTCTCTTTGTTTGCAGTTTTTTTGTGACTATACATTATACTGTAATTGACTGAAACTATAAATAGTTTCAGATTTCAATATAACAACATTGTTTACATTGCAAAGAACAAAAGTAATTTGAAATCTCAAAGAAATTGAGTTCCTCCTTTGTGACCCGTTTTCCTACCGACTCTTTTTTTGATATGTAGATATGAAAATTTCGTTCCAAAATTTCGTTTCAACAGCATATCTTTAGCTTTCTACAGAATATAAGGATGAATTGTTAAACTGTGGTTGTTTTCTTGCCGGGCTTGTGTCACACATGGATTTGAAGTGTTGCTTTTCATTCAAGAGAAAATCGAATTATTTCGATTTATTATTCAGACTAAAAGTAAGCCACATATCATGGACAACTTTTCCTTGGGACCTGTTCTGCTAAAGGGTAGAACTGAGCTACCAGGTTGTGCAACCTCTATAAGAGTGTGCAGTTGTTCGGCTTCCCACTCAGATGATATAACTGAACACTTCTGAATTGAGAATTGTCAGGAGCACCATTTTTGTTGGCAGAGATTTTTGTTATACATAAATGAAAACAATTTGATTTTAATTTTATATGTGGCACAGGGAACATTCAAAGAATGATTTGTTTAAATATCACATTATCAATTTCTATTAGATTATGTAAGGAGTACTGAACATGTATACCCTTTTACGATTAGGAGACTTTTCAGTATAGTCAGCTGTATATTTTGAATATTTTATACAGTAGAGAAAATATAAAATCTAAGGCAGGCATCATTATCTGTAAAAGTGAAAAGTTAAACTTTGTGCACTGTTCATAGATTACTGATTTTTGTACAGTGTCATTTAAGTTGATTTTAAGTTTGTTAATAGGCTAACTTCGTGCTGCTCAATTTCTTTACAATTGAACAGTTAGCTTTAAAACAGTTCCAAATACAACATAAATAGAAGTCTCTTCCTGAAATAAAATGGGACTTTCTGAATGAGTGGTTTAAGTAACCTGACTGTTAGGCACTTACATCTGTGAGTTCTAAATTTGTCATGGTCTTTGGAGTCTCTTATTTGCGGAAGATGTCCAGCTAGCTTACGGAAAGATTATGGTTCTTCACGGGTGCCTGCATGTACCTGAAGTAATGCATAAATGGGAAACTGAGGTCTTCATTTCAGCAGGGAAGCTGTGTATGCCTGAAAAGTGTCAGTGTGACTTTATAATTAAAACAAATCCTGAAACTTAGTTAGAAGATGTCTTTAAGGTACATGATATTTAAGAAATCCAAAACATTGTAATCAGATTTACTTTCATAGTATTGTTTACAATATAAATGGGGGAAAATAATTTAGGAGGCTTATCTTAAAGTATCATTAAATTTTGCAATTTTTCAGATTTACTTCATGTATTGTGAATGAACTACATGTATAGAGAAATTTTAATTCAAAACATCCGCAATTCACTGTAGAATTGTTTTTGTTACTGCCATTAAACATATTGTCTATATTTTCACTTGTGTCTTTAGGGCTACTGTAACATTGTTCTTAATCAGCCAATGCACCAAATTAAAAGGGGAATCTTTCAAATTATTAGGTCACGAAGGAGAGAAAGATAATGATTAACATCAAATTTCAGTGTTTTTTTTCTACAAAGGATTTATTTTCATTGTTTGGTGCGAAAATATCCATGTTTTTTATTGAGGTAGGCTATCACCAGTCAAAAATTCCACTCCATGAAAATAATAAGTCTTGTATT